AGACCATGCCATAAGAGCATTACCTAAAAGGAACTGGTCATGTTTGTTTTGAAGAAGAGAAGGCTTAGGAAGGCTATGAAAATTGTTTTCAAGTATCTGAAGGACCATGGATCACCTAGCCTTATTCTTTTGGAATAGGGCTTGGTTTTATTATATTTAGCCTCAGAGGGTAGAACTTGGAGAAACAGGTTGAATAAATGGTAAAAAGCCAAAAAAAAAATCCAAACAATTAGACCCATAAAAAAGTGGATGGAACTGCCTTGAGACGTGGGATTGTAGGTCTCACTAGAGTGTAGGTCTTTAAGCCGAGGCTAGACAGCCTACTGTCAGCGCTGGGGATTATAGTGGGAATTCGTGTTAATGGTAATGTGACCCCTGTTAGATGATCCCCAAAGCCCCTCCCAACTCTTAGGATCAGTCATTTACTGAAAATAAACTTCACATGGAGGCATGATAAGTGAGACCTACAAGGTCCTGGGATAAAAGAATCTGAGACTTGGGCAACACTAATATGTCACAGAATGATAGCAATATAAAGAGATGGTATGGTATAATGGAATGAGTGCCAGATTTGGAGACAGAGGACCCAAATTTAAACCTTAGATCTTTCACCTGTACCTTTGGGACTGTGGGCAAGTCACTTAACTTCTCTGAAATCTCAATTTCCTCATGGGTTAAAAAAATTTTAAAGTAGGTGTTAGACTAATGATCTGCAAGATTCCTTTTAGCTCTAAAGTATATGATCCTATGATCCTTTGGATCTGGGTGGGGACTCAAGAAGAATCACAACTAAAACAGTACTTAGGGGTCTGTTCAGTTGGAAGGAAGCCACTCAGATTTAACCCAATTAATCTATTTATTCTAGCCATAGAAAGAAGTCCATCCCTGGAAGGTTCTTACCACCTATTAAGTACTCACATCCTAAGGGAAAGAGAGTGGTCTTAAAAGATAAGATAGGAGCTTTCATTGAGTCAGGAAATCATCAAGGTATCCTAGTGGTACTAGACATATTCCTACTTCAGGACAACTAGTCAACATGGCCATAGGGCATGTAGAGTGGAAATTACTTTCCCTGGACAGGTGTTGTATCAGTAGATCAAAGTGTGTACACAGAAAGGGAAATACCTAGCAAGCCCAGACCCATTGTCATCCCCTTGCTTCATTCCAACAGAGGTCTTCCTTGGCTTCTCCTATCCCTCTCCTTATACCTGATAGCTTTGCATTCACAGAAGTCTTACTGACTTAAGGGAGAATACAAGCCTGGTGCCTCAGTGCTTCTGGGGACTGGTTAATTGAAACCCCTCCCTGTTTTTCCAACGCAGGCTACATTGTGTTTTCCTGATTGTGCTTGCAACCACCCTCCAAAACTAGGATTGAATCCATGGTCTTGTCCTTTTCTGCAGTAAGCTCTAATTAAAACAATCTACTTGCTTTGAACAGATTGCCTCAGGACAATAGAAAGTTGGCTGAGGAAGAAGAAAAGCAAGGAAGATCACCACAAAACCATCAACTATTAAAAATGAAAAGCAATTTAGAGATCAACTCAAGTCCCTCCTTTTGCAGATGAAGAAACTGAAGCTTGGAATAAGGAAATGTCTTATTCACTGTCATACAGCTAGTCATTGTTGAATCAGGACCAAGAATCCATGTCTTTTAACTCCTAGTATTGAGCTCTCTTCATTAAACAGCACTGCCTCTTACTATCAACAGTGAAAGCTGTCTGCTCAGATCCCTTTGCCTAAAGAATCTCCAATGTCAACCTTGATAAAAGATTTCTTCTCTTCACCTGCAGCCATAAATAGGTTACAGGATAACATAGAAACCAGGCTGTTTCATTTGGCTTTAAAGTTAATGGAAATATCCCAGTGAAGAAGGCTTAACAGTGCCCCAATAACTTCCTCTCTCTGTGGCAAATACACTGGGATTAAGTTTGTCTTCCCTTAAGATGGTGAAAATGAAAGAATCACATTTAGACATTACCCTGTCCTTAATACTAATACTTTTTCACAGTAGAGGAAACTCTAGTGGGTAGGGGAAGGCATTCTAGTTTGGGGACAGGACCCAAACATGGCAGAAGTCTCTCCTTATTTCTAGGTATGACATACAATCCTACTGATTTTGAATGTCCCCAATTTCATCCACCCCTACTTTCAGAAGCTTTGTGAAAAAGTAATATCACTCTGAGCCTTCTTATGTGCTTTCTTGGAGCAGCTGTTCAATGTCCTTCTGCAATGAAAGGAAGAATCCTGGGATCATTGTCTCATAGATCAAGAGCTAAAAGTAACCTTGGAGTCCATCTCCCCTCCTCTTTTTACAGGGAAAGAGAAAGAAAGAAAGAAAGAAAGAAAAAAAAAAGAAGAAGAGAAAAGAAAGAAAGAAAGAAAGAAAGAAAGAAAGAAAGAAAAAAAAGAGAAAGAAAGAAAGAAAGAAAGAAGAAAAGAAAGAAAGAAAGAAAGAGGAAGAAAGGAAGGAAGGAAGGAAGGAAGGAAGGAAGGAAGGAAGGAAGGAAGGAAGGAAGGAAGGAAGGAAGGAAGAAAGTGAGAGAGAGAAAGGAAGGAAGGAAAGAAGGAAGGAAGGAAGCCCAGAGAAACTAAACATTTTGCTTGAGGTCCCACAGGTATGTCACATATTGGATATGGGATTTGAACCACTGTCCTCCTACTCCAGAGACAAGGATCTTTCCACTGTATCCTGGTGGCTAGAATACTTTTTAGATAATGCTTTAAGCAATGGCTTAGCTGTCTATGAGCTGTGTAGAATTTACATTATTATTAGGTGCCATTTCACACCCTCCTTTAGGAGGAAGGAACACAAAGCATCAGTACTCTACTCTCAGAAAAATGTTGTGGTAACAAGTTAATAAGACCCTGCAGAGCCATGAGTGAAGTTCTGAGCATTCTCAGGCACTAGATTTTAATTTCCTGAGTTTGGGGGTGATGTTTCCACAGGCAGATGGTTGAAAGGAGAGCTCTTCTTGACCCGTTCTCCTGTTAACATACAGCAAAATGTATTCTCTGTCTCTCTCTGTCTCTTTCTTCTTCTCTCCCATTTTCTTTATTCTTTCTTTTGTTCTTCACTTCTATCATCTTTCTTACTTCTCTCTTTAATTCCATCCTTCTATCTTTCTCTCTCTCCTTTGGTTGCTCCTCTTTCCCTCTCTCTCCACTGTCCTCTTTACTCCCTCTCCCTTCCTTTTCTTTAATGTCTTTTCTTTTTCTTTCTCTTCTTCTTACCTTCCTTCCCTTCTTTTTTCTTCCTCCCTTCCTCCCTCTTTCTCTCCTTTCATTTCTCTGTACCTTTCTTTTTCAGTCTTTCACTGTCTGTATCTGTCTCTCTATCTCTGCCTTTGACTGTCTCTATCTCTCTCATAAATCTCTGTCTCTATCCCTGACTCTCTATCATTTCTTTCCTACCCCTCCAACTCCCCTTTCCATGCTGTCTTACCAAATAACACTCCATTTCAAGGCAAAACACAGCTGATTGTTTGAATGGTAACATTTTTTCAGTCATAATATTGGCTCTCAGTTCTGCCCAATCATTAACTCAGATCCTAGAAACCCCAGAAACCATGACCATGGTGTAGACCTGGTGTCTAAGGGATATCCACACTCATGCTCTGGTCCCAAGAATCATACTCTTTGGCTCAGAATAAGTGGCACTGAGACACCAAAAAGGTCATAAAATTTTAGAATAAGGACCTTGGAGGTCATTTAGTCCTACCCTCTCACTTTATAGATGATGAAACCGGGGTCTAGAAAGGCTGAGTGATGTAGAGTCACAGCTAGGACATGACAGATTTAAGATTTATCCTAGGTTCAATGATGCCAAAGCCAATTTCCATCATCCCATGCTGCCTCTGAAAACTCATATTTAAAGAGCACTTTAAGGTTAGGGCTTATGGAGAGGGAGAAAACCTTATTTGCACAAACCCACCATCTTCTACCATTTGTAACTATGTACTACTGGCTCCTGGTGACCAGAAGAGATTCTAGTTAGCAATTTCAAACAAAGCCTTGCCAGGGAACACGTAAGCCACTGTACACCCAGTGAGACTGCTCTGTCTGCATGTGTGACATAGCTTGGTTGTCTCTTGTTTGCCTCCAAAACCTACCTTCTCATAGAAAGCACCCAGGAGGCCCAGACTTTAGGCACAGCTCTTGTAACTAAATCTCCATGAGTCCACGGACTAGTTGGTTTCCTCAATTGTGAAATAATTCAGTTAAACCAGAAAATGTCTGAAGTCCCTTTTGTAAGTCTATCACCTCACTTAATGTCCAGGACATCCTTGTAAGATAAATGAGGACAGGTACTGTGCTATATAATTTTCTGCTGCTGCTGCTTCTTTTCCTCCTTCTCCTCCTCCTCCTCCTCCTCCTCCTCCTCCTCCTCCTCCTCCTCCTCCTCCTCCTCCTACTACTACTACTACAAAGCAGTTTGGCATAATTTGCAGTTAACCTTGAGGTCAGGAAGTTGTTCAGTTATTTTTCAGTCATGACCCCATTTGGGGTTTTCTTGGCAAAGATACTGGAGTGGTTTGTCATTTCTTTCTCCAGTTCATTTTATGAGGAAACTGAGGCAAACAGGGCTACATAGCTAGTAAACATCTGAGGCCAGATTTGAGCTTAGGAAGATAAATTTTCCTGAATCCAGGCCTACCACTCTATCCACTGTGCCACCTAACTGTCTCAGGAGTTAGGAAGACCTAAGTTCAAATTTCACTTCTGACACATCCTGGTTTTGTGATCCTCTGTAAACCACTTAATTTCTCAAAGAACCAGGCAATTCCCTAAGACTGTAAATTACAGAGATGTTGCCAATCCATTAGAATGGAGAGAGTTCCTATACCTGTACCTATACCCATACTTCCCTACACCATTGAAATCAGAGATTCAGATTCTGCTCTCCCAAACAAAATAAAACAATAGTAATGGATATAACAATGTTCGTAACTCTCCTCATTCAATCAGGTCCTGGAAGCCTAGAGGGGCAGGTAGACTCACCAGTCAGGAACTCTGGATCTGGAGTAGGCTCTGAGATCTCCTCTAGGCACTGATTCTCCAGGGGGACAGTGGCCACTACAAGGCCATCTGGTAGCTGTTGCTCTAAGCCTCGGGCAAAGTTGTTCTGTCTGGAAAAAGGAACAGGTCAGTGATTTCTAGGCATTCATGGTAAGCACACTTCTCTGGGGCCATACTCTTCTTCAAATCTTAGGGGAAAATTCTCTTCTGGTATAGTATGTCAAATTCCTAGCCAGCCTGCCTTAGTTTTGATGAGGGAAGGGAAGCCCTGTGGAAAATGTAGGGATAGAACTGGAAAAAGATTAGGAAGGAATGTAGAGTAGAGGCTACTTAAAGGGCAACATGAATCTTTCCTATCCAATTGTCCTCAGCCTCAGGGACTGTTTCTGAAGGAACAGTCATCAAGATCCCTAGCCAAGAATATTAATATGGGTAGAGTCTCTCTCCTGCCTGAACCACAGGCAAGCACCTGGCTGTGGTAACTAGCCTGAGTGCTTCGTTATGAAGCACAATTCCCAAAAGAGCAAAGTCTTGATGCCCAAGCTTGGCACAAATATAGGCTCTAATTGGTCCCAAATCTCACATTCTACCATTCATTATTATCTCTTCCATTCTCAAAGGAATTTCCAAGGGAAATATGAGGAAAGATACATACAAATGGATGAAGTTTTAAGACCCCTGTTAGAGAAGTCAAAGTCCCATATATCTTTAAATAGTTTTAATCTCTTGTAGACAACTCTTCCATTTAAAGAGAAATGACCAAAATCATCTCTGAATAACTCTAAAGCACGAATGCATGATTGAATGATGAGTACTATATTCCAAGCACTGTGCTGAGTGTTGGTGATATAAATACAGAAGTGAGTCATCCTTGCCTTCAAGGAGCTAACATTCTAAGGCAGAATTTAATAAGGACTCATTCAGAGGAATGGTGGCTAGAAAGGAAAGTTATGGTCCATGAGGCCTCAAAAGTAAAGACAATGAAAAGAACAACTGGCATGCCATTTTGGGAGGCAATGGTAATATTGATATACACACACATACACATACATATATAATGTATGTATATGTATGTATGTGTGCATGCATAATACATATAAGTATATAACATACACATAGATATGTGTATATACACATGGGCGTGAATATGTGCATTCAAATATACAAGTAAACATGTGTCTTGTATAGTTTTGACCTTGGTTTTTTGCATAGATTGTTGTCTCCTTTCAGCAAAGACTGTATCTTCTCCACAGGCTGCAAATTCCCTAGAGCACCTAACCTCATGCTAAGCACACAGTGAAGATGAGATTACACCTCATTATTATAGTATTACAAGTGTTTGAAACACCACCACCAGTACCACCCCCACACACACACATTACCATTTCACAGATATGAGATAGCTTAGACAGAATCTACAATTCCAATAGGGATAAGGTAAATGCTCATTCAACACCTCTCTGTTACCCAAGTGGTTCTAGGATACTGAAATAATGAATATTGGACCCATTGGGGACCTTGAAAATCTATCAGTCACATCCCTCTACCTTCAGGAATCATTACATGTTATCCTTTTGAGACTGTATGATAAGTTTATGGTTCTCCAAGGGCAAACTGCCCTGGGTGATCCAGTCCACACCCATGGAATTCACCTGAATGTTCCTTTCAGCACCTGTCCAGGTGCCACTTCCTTGGAGTGATTATTGTAGCCAAAGAATATCTCCCCAAAGAGAGTCTGGTTCATGGGAAGCTCCCGACTTTCCCCACATTCAGCTCCCTCTGGGCAAGTCTCAGTGATCAGCTGGCAGGAGCGCCCATCCACACCAAGCTTGTAATCCTCAATGCACCTGCCATGATAGAACACAAAAGTAAGAGGCTAAAACATCAGTTAACCTAATGGCTGATCCAATCCATTGGAGTATGGTATTGAAGAAAAGGAGACGTCTTGGATAGCAGAAATGTTGAGATTTCTATTGCCCCTGCTAACCCAGTATTGTTCAATTACCCAAATCTGTAAACTGTCTCTCTTTCCATTTATGTAAACAGTTCAACTAGATCCCTTTTCTCTCTCTCTGCTAAGCAGAGACGTTCAGAATGTCTAGAGGTGTCTAATTCTCAAGGAAATAGCTTGTTTCTCAAGCAGTTTTTGGGTGACACTCACCAAATATAAGCTTGTGAATGAATCAGTGTACTTTAAAGTCTTTCTCAGACACTTATCTATACCATCCTAACATTTGTTAGTAATCAATCAACATCAAGAGCATATGTGCTAGACACTGGAGACACAAAGACAAAAATGAAATGATGAATGCCATCAAGGACTTTACTTTCCATTGTCACATTTTATTTAGGGGCAGCTAGATGGATGGTGTGCATGACATGGAGTCAGGACGAACAGAGTTCATACTATGCCTTAAATTACTGTGTGACCCTGGGCAAGTCACTTAATTTCTTCCTGCCTTAGCTTCCTCCTCTGTAAAATGAGGATAATAATATCACCTACTTCATAGGGTTGTTGTGAAGATCCAGTGAGATAACATGTAAAGCACTTTGCAAACCTTAACGTATGATATAAATACTATTAACATCATCATCGTCATTATTATTGCTAGTAGTAGTAGCACTAGTAGTAGTAGTATCGTAGTAGTAGTAGTAGTAGTAGTAGTAGTAGTAGCAGTAGTATAGCAGTAGTAGTAATAGAGGAGGAAGAGGAGGAGGAGAGAGAGGGAGGCAAAAGACTCTCAGAAAAGGTGAGCAGAGATTGCAGTCATGGAAGGCAATCCAGACAGAATAAATATGGGAAGACACAGTGTTCAAGGTATCATTTCATTGTATTAATTTGGCCTCTCACCAGCTAGCTAGGCCATGGAAAAGATTTATTATCTTTTGTGTCCCAACACAAGATCAATTGAAATTAATTCTCACCTTCAAGAAGTCCTCTTGATCTAAATACATACTGGTATACATATTCACATATTGTCAACTCTCCAAGTACAATTAATCCAAAACTATCTACTGGCTGTCCCCCTAACTGGGTGCATGTTACCCTAAATATATACCACGGCTAATGCCTGTAAAGAGGGATTAACCATTAGCAAATCTGTTTATTACTGTCATGTTTCCAGTTGTATTATAAAGGATATTCATTTGTTAGCTGAAGTATGAATTACCTCTTTGTGATTAGGAAAATACAGGAGGGTGGCTGGGCCCAGCTAGCCAGAAAATTTTAAGATGCTTATAAATCACACACATTTGTGAAGTTCAAAAGCATTACCTTTTAGAAATAGCATTAATGTTTCTAATAAAATAAGCTGAGCTCTGGTTAAAAGCCTAAAATTTTACAGCTGCCAATAGAGGTCTAACTATGACTCTAATTACTATCATAACAAGAATCACCATGGAGTAGTGAGAAAGAGTTGGAGACTCCAGGGCAGACAAACTGGGCTTATACTTCAGCTCTGTCACTTACTACCTGTGTGACTTTGTACATATCATTCAGTCTCTATGGGTCTCAGTTTTCCCAGCTGCAAAATTAGAAGGTTAGAGTAGAAGATGTCTAAGTTCCATTGAAACTTTAAAGGCATGGTTCTATAAAGCACTGATATATGTGGGCAGGCACTGCCTTCCTATGTGTCCCTGCATGGTGCGAGCTCCTCTAAGGCAGGGCCTGTTTTCTGCCTGTCTTTGTATCCCTAGTGCCTGACAGGTGTTAGCTGACTGACTGACTTGTCTCCACCAGCCATGCTGTTTTCAGGCTGCCTCACTTTCCTCCCTAACCATAGAAAGGTCAAGAGCTGAACTCCACCCATTCCCTCCCACTGAGAAAGTGCAGGCCTTTTTTGTTGGAGGACTGTCTTCTGAGCCACACACCTAATCATATTTTTTTGTGCCAGGTGAAAAATATCCTTATTGCTCTTTCGATGACAACTATTTCTATTTTTCTGTCACCTCGAGATATATGTGTATATACCTGTATGAACAAATATATATGAACATGTGTACCCTACTAAATTATCTAAGTGAAAATGTTTTCTGTATAGTTTTGAATCTACTTTCTATGTAGCTTGTATGTTTCCTGTGGAAAGGGCCACATCATCTCTGAAGGCTGGAAATTTCTGAATGCATCTAAACCAATTAAAATGTTAAGCAACAGTGAAGAAAAGTTGGAAGTCTCATCATTGTATTATAAGTGTCTGAAACCCTTCCTACATTTATATTTTATGAGACACCGCTCAGAACTAATGTATGTGTGACTGAAACCAACATCAATATAATGACTTAGTTCAATCTCATGGCCCTGTTTGAGAATGAAAGACAAACAACAATAACCATAAGGGCATGCTTATCACAAGGCATTTGTGGAAAATATGACGTACACACAATAATCTCTCCTGTATCTAAAATGATTGTGGAATAAAGCATTCCAGTTCCAACTTAGAATCTCAGCGTTGGAAGAGCCATGAGAAATCATTAATCAATTATCAAATATTTGTTAAGTATTTAGTGTGTGTCAGAAATGTGCCAGGTAGTTGGGATACAAAAACAAAATGGTCCTTGCTCTCAAAGAGCTTACATCCTAATCCCTGTCATACACTATCTTTCATGCGTAGATTTCTAATTTTCAGTGTCAGACCACAATAAAATATTCATAACACTAAAACTATATTGAACATAATTTAACTTTTTTCTTGATTCCAAAGAACTTTGGCATCTTGCGAATGCTCCAGGCTCTTCATGAAGAACACCATGTAGGGGAATGGCCTGGATCTGAATGTACCTTAACATTTATACCCTATCGATTGCTTGATTTTAGATATCTTTTAGTTTCCTGTCTCTGTCTCAATCAAAGCAGGGTACTATCGTGTTGGAAGATGTACTAGGCTTGGAGTCAGAAGACCTGGGTTTGAGTCCTGGCTAGGTGACCTCAGGTCACCTTGGATCTTTTGGGCCTTATTTTCCTCTTCTGGGAAAGAGGGATAACAGTAATTTGCTACCTACCTCCTAGGATTAGTAAGAAGATAAAAGAAGATGATGTTAAGTGAAAGCTCTGGGTAGCTATAAAGTGCTCTGTGCAGCTAAAGTTATTAATGGCGTTATTGTTTCATAAAGGTAAAATTCAGGATGCAAATAAAATCTAGTGGTTTAGATTTCTAAGGCAAAGGTGAGTTTACTTCTTTAACCCACACAAATCTTGCCCAGTCAGGCATATTGCTATCAATCCTTGCCATACTCATGGTGTGTTACTATGATGACACACTGAATGATGATATTAAATAACTGTGCTTTGAGATTCCTGCCCATTGAGCCTAATCTCTTAGAGTATAAACCTAACTTTATTTTGACCCTGAACATCCAGGTGGCTTTGGTCATTATCTGTTTTCATTGAGAGATTTCAGACAAGTTGCTATCTATGAAGGGATTTGCTGGTAAATGTTTAACTCTTGATATTAAATAGACTCTTGATATTAAAAAAAATTATGCAATATACTTTAAAGTTTTATTTGAATTATTAACATGTTCTTAAGTCTAGACAATTAACAAAACAACAAATCAACCTTGATTGTAATGATTGCTGATTTCTGGGGTATAAACACTGGCAATGAAAATTTAACAATGGCTCTCACAATCCAATTAGATCTAGCTTCAGCATACTCTTGTATCTGTGCCATCGAAGAGTGATAGCATATTTTTCAGTCTGGTTTCAAGCATCTTTCTAGACAGATGCTGCCTCTCCATATCTGAGAGAGTCATGCTACAGATGACACCAAACTCAACCTTTATGTCACTGACATTTTCTGTACTGACTGTAACCCCTCTGTCTTCACATATGTACCTGTTTCCATAAAACAGAACTCCACTATGGTATATCGACAATGACTGAAAAATATTCAGTATAGATTGCCTTTTATTAATTATACAAAACCAGCACCAGAACCAGCACCAGCATCACTACCACAACAACCTGATCACCAGCAGAGGGGGTATTCCTTCCATTTTTAGTAGAACCATATTTTAGAGAGATGATCATTGAATAAGGAGGCAGAACCTCAGGGATTTAATCCTAAAATTGTCATTTACCAACCATATGGTCTTGAGCAAGTCACCTAATTTATTTGAGACTCATTTTTCTCATCTTGCCTACTTGGCTCCCTCATGGGATTGTCACAAGGGCCAAAGTTAATATAATGTAATTGAAAAGGACTTTGAAAAATGTCAAGTACCAACCATGACTACTACAAAAGAGCATTCCAAGAAATTCAGAAACTCATTGGAAACCATAGACAACATTGTCTGCTTCCGGACAATGCTTGTTCTAGCAGAATAGCTAAGAACTTGGTGTAATTGTCAGCTTTTTGAAGAATAAATCCCTAGGTTTCATCACTTACAAACTGGGGGATTTAGACTAGATGATCCCTAATGTCTTTTCCAACTGTTACATTATAAGATCCTACAGTCTGGGATACTCTGAGAGGGATGCTGTGAAAAGCATATTGGGCTTGGAACCAATTTCCTCATCTCTAAAAGGATACTGTGTTGGACTAATATCCCACATAGCTCTAAAGTCATATCATTCTTAACTCTCAACTTTCTTCTTCCCTTTCAGTTAATGAGACTGCCTAGCTAGAACAAAGGAGATTTACAGGTAAGAATGACTAGCAAGAAATCTGAGAGTTTGAGGCCCTGAAAGTTAATGGAGCCCTATAACCTAACTGGCTAGCCTGAATGTGATCCAGGTGCTTATGTGTCCATTACAAGAGCGTGGTATAATGGAATGCACACAAGGCTTACAATGTGAGTTCTGACTCAATATCTATTAGCCATGTGACCATGGCACAGCGGATGGAGTGCTGGGTCCTGAATCAGGAAGACCTGAGTTCAAATCCAGTCTGAGACACTTACTAGATGTACAACCTTGGACAAGCCACTTAACCCTATTTTCCTCAGCTTCCTCATCTGTGAAATGAGCTAGGGAAGGAAATGACAAATCACTCCAATATCTTTGCCAAGAAAACCACAAATGGGGTCATGAAGAGTCAGGCATGACTGAAACAACTGAACAACGACAACACAGGCCTATAACTTCAACACTCAGAGCTCCATAGTCCTCATTTGCCAACATGGGGGTGAGGATATTTTACTTATCATAGGTTTTTGGTTGTTTCTTTGTTTCAATCAGGAAAAAAAATGTTTTGGAAACTGTAAACCACCATACAGCAGTAGACTCTAACTTCCTTGAACACAGAGAATATCCTCCCCTCCCCCTGGCCTTTTTTTTTTCCTAATCTTTGTAATCCCAGAACCTAGAGAATGCCTTGTACCGGGAAGGCATTTATTTTTCTTAATCGAATACTATCAGAAGCTAGAAGGGACATTAACAAAATGAGATTCTGCTTGAAGGTTTTCAAAGGGAAGAGAGGGACCCACCACCCCACAAGGCAGTCCATTCCACTTTTGGTTAGCCCCCATTGTTAGGGAGTTCTTTGTGAGTTTTATATTTGGCTTTTCTGACAACAAATCTCAATTAACCTCTCTTCAACTTCTACTCATTTCTGCTGATTCTGTCTTCTGGGAATGAACAGACAAGTCTAATACCTCATCCAAATAAAAATCCTTCAAATACATGAACACAGTTATCTTGTCCCCACTGAGTCTTCTCTTTCCCAGGCTAAACATTCCCAGTTTCTGCACCCAATTCTCATATGACATGGATTCAAGGCTCTTCATCCTCCTGCCTGGCCTCTCCTGGGCACTCTTCAGTTGATCAATTTCCTTTTTAAACCCCTGTGTGTATAGAAATGAACACAATACTCAAGATGTAGTCTGAGAAAGGTAGAGCACAATGGAACTATCACTTACCTGTTTGTGAAAGCCATGCCATTCAATGCTGCCCAAGATCCCATTAGCTTTTTTGGCCTCCACATTATACTGCTGACCCATATGGAGCATGTAGTCCATTAAAACCACCAGATCTTTTTCAGAACAACTGCTGTCTAACCATGCTTCTCCCTATATTGCACTGACATATTGATTTTTGTACCAAGTACAAAAGCCTCCATTTAAACCTATTGAATTCCATTTGATTAGTTTCATCCCAATGCTCTATCCTGTTTAGATCCTTTTAGATCCCGACTTTGTCATCTACCATGTTAGCTATCCCTCCCAACTTTTTGTCATCTGAAAATCTGATGATCGTGCCATCTGTGCTTTTCTCTAGTTCCTCTTGTTTTTGGCTTAAATTTTGGACATTTACATATAGATATTTGAGGCCTTAGGTTTTTCTACTGACTCCTTTCTTGGAAGTCTTCTGCTGTGAACTTCTGGGTATATCAACTGCTATTTCTTCTTTGTAGCTATTCACCACGTATACAGATATACAGATGATATACATAGATAGGTGAGACAGATTTATATATGTACATATATGTATATACATTTGTGTGTGTGTGTGTGTGTGTATAACTATCTAGGCATCTTCTCCCTCTTCCATCCTTTTTTATTTTAGTTTAAAGCTCTTTTGATTAGATTTGCATGACACCTGGCAAATACATTCTTCTCAACCATTGTTAGATGTATTTTGTCTCTGGCCTGGGATCTGATATACCTCTATTTAAGCCATGCTCCAAAAATCTAAATCTCAATCCCAGATACCACCTTCCTAACTAGCTGTTCACTTCTCATTTTTTTTTTCTGTTTTGCATCCCTCTCCTTCATTGGGGAACAATGAGGGAAATATAACCATTTTCCCAAGTATCTTCATTTTCTTGCCTCAGACTTCTTCATCATTGCCAACAATTTTTAGGTTCCTTCTAATGTTCCTTCTAGTGGTGTCATTTGTGCCCACATGAAATCATGAGAAAAAGGTAATTATTATCCATTTTGATAAGTCTTGGGAGGTTCTCTGTTATATTTTGGATGCCTGCCCTGGGAAGGCAATGCAACTTTCTCTTGCTGATATCAGATTGAGAAATAGCTCCTTCCCTACCCCCTGAGCAGGAAATCACTGCTTTCTACAACTTGTCTCTACTTCCTCTTCCTTTTACTGTGTATTTTCACACCTGACCACTTCTGGGTATCTACTATATTATTCTTCATAGGACAAACAACTTTTCCCCTTTAGAGTGCCCAGCTTCCTTCTCCTGAACAAATAAATGAGGAGAAATGGGAAAGAAGAAAGGGAGGAAAGTCTATTCTGGCAAAATTGTTGCGGTGGAAATGATGGGAACCCTGAGGGGAAGCGACTTCTTCCTCTTAAAGCTTGTGATAGAGAAGTACAGAAAATCTCCATGTAGTATGAACATACACCCTAGATTTCAGGAAGAAAGATTGCAAAGGGTTCAGAAGAAAGAGAGGTCAGGGTTATTAACTAAAAACGCTAGAAGAGAAGTTAGCTCAGGAAAAAGAGGAGATGCTCCAGAGTGAAATTCTGAAGATGCAAAGAGAACCAATAAATGAATGAGTGAAAAAAAAAATGTATTAAGTATATATTATGTGCCAAGCATATATATGGGCATATAAATCAAAAAAGTGAGATACTCCTTGCTCTACAGAAACTAACATTCTGATCTGGGGAGACATAAATATAAGAGACGTTAGTTGTAGGGCAGATGCAAAGACCCCCAAACCCTAAAGAAGCAGTAAAAAAAAAAAACAGATAGCAAGGCCCTAAGGTCCTTAGGAACATCACTAGGCCTGAGGGCAGTAACTGGATGGAACAAAGGCCTTTAGGATACAGCCACAGGGTAGATGGCCAGGTCTGGTGCCCCCTATCTTACTGGAGTTACTGTAGTTGGGGACCACCAGCTCATCTGAGCACTGCAAACAATTAAACCTCTCTTCCATCCCAGCTACTTAAGTGGACTCTGCAGAAAGAGCCTCAGATCTATTTTTTTCAGGTTCTTTTTGTAACAGCCATTCCTTTTTCCTTTGTTCCTCTGTGTGACAGTCTTCCATTCTATGACATTCTGGCAAGGGTCAATTCTCACTCCTCTCCTTCAGATTCCTTCTGTTCCCCATTGAAGTGTCCTGCAAAACCTGAGGTGTGGAGAGCCATTCTTTGAACACTTTCACCTATCAGGACAGTAATCAGCCCCCACTTGGAACACAGATGACATTTACTTAGCGAAGGCAAAATCACAATCATCTAGCTCTCATGGAAAGCTTCTCCCATTTCTCCATAACTTAATCTTTTACAGCTTTTAAAAGAATAATAATAACAAGCATTTATGTAGCACTTTAAGGTTTGCAAAGCTCTTTACAAATCCCATCTCATTTTATCTGCACAATGACCCTGAGAGGTGTTGTTATTAAGTCATTTTCACTCACGTCCAACTCTTTGTGACCTCATTTATGATATTCTTGGCAAGCATATTGGAGTGGTTCACCATTTCCTTCTCCAGCTCATTTTACAGATGAGGAAACTGAGGCAAATGGGGTTAAGTGACTTGCTCAGGGTCACAAGCTAGTAAGCATCTGAGGCCAGATTTGTTCTCACATCTTCCTGGCTCTAGGCCCAGCACTCTATCCACTGAACCACATACCTGTCCCTGGGATATAGATCCTCTTATTCTCCCCATTTTACAGATGAGGAAACTGAGGCAGACAGAGGTTAAGTAACTTGCTCAAGCATCACACAGCAAGTTGGGTTCAAGACAGCACTTGAACTCAGATTCATTCTTCAACCATAAACTGATAAGGAATAATTTTATCTCCCATTGTCACATCTTAATAACTATACAACCCCACTCAACTTCCTTTTCTCAGTTCTAATAACACCATACCCAGATCCACTTCAGTCACGCCAATTTCCTATCTGTTTCATCCTACCCACAGATTAACTTTGCCAAATTTACTTTGCCCCCTAATTGTTCCACTTGCCTCTTCTTACTTACCATTGCCTGTCTTACCAACTGCTTTCTCCTTTTCCTTCCTGAGTTTACCACTTCAGAATCTACAATCCTCCTTGATCCTTTTCAAACCCCCTTAATTCTTTTATATACACACTATTTGTCCTTGATCCTGCTCTTCTTTCAACCCAAAAGTAGTTTCTGTAAGAATAGCTGGGCCTAGAAATTGTTCTCCTTCAAATGTTCCTTAATTTCTCCCAAATGTTGCCAAATTTCTCTTCTCAGATGCAATTTCTGACTTATGTAACTAATCTAGCCCCTTCAAATTAGCTTCATGTTTTCCTTCTTTTTCAGCTCAAGTCTTCCCTTTTCACCACATCCTTTCTCCAACAGCAGCTGGAAAGTAGAATGGACTGCACATCCAGTTATTTCTTCCATGATCACACAATGCCTTACCTATGCCTCTCCGCCACTCATAAAAGTAAGCTACTATATTACAAACCCCTGGTGGTCAGAAGCTGTCTTATTCATTTTTATATTCTGAATTCCTAACAAAGTATTTGCCCAACAAATGTTCAATTGAATTAAAGTATGCAGACTGGTTCTGAGCATACTCACCCACAGAACATGAGGATGTTATACAGCAAAGGATCGTCTGGGAAGGGTGCCATCTGCTGGAGACATAACTGCTCACAGCCTCCGTTGAATCCGTCGGAGCAGTCAACCCCAATATGGCGATCGTAGCAACCGGTACCATCCTTCATGGGGCTGAGTCCTGATGGGCACTGGCACAATCAGAAAGCATCCACATAACCCAGATGAAACAGCGATCTGAACACTCTCGGGACCAAAATTTAACCTCAGGCAACTATTTCTAATGCCAGGGCATGAAATCATTAGCATTGGAAATTCATTCATGAACTTCCTACTGGACTGGACTCCCTTTAAAAGCTTGTGACCCTTTGTGCCATACCATTTCTTCTCTCTGGGCAACCAATAATACATATTTGTGTTAAAAATGAGTTTCTCTTTACCTAGACAGAAGGGGTTGTGAAGAAAGGGGACACTGTAGCAAAGCAGCATGTGTGAGGTATGCTGGTCTGGCCTGAAGCTAGCAGAACAGTGGGTGTGATGGGCCAGAATTAAAATGCATTAGCAGGGCTTCCTTAGGGCTGTGCTACTGTTTAGGCTGAGCACTCACTGGACCCTTTTCATGTCCAAAGAACTTTGTCAATGTTTAGTGTGGAGTTAGAGTGAGTGTACAGGGGCAAGTGAGGACAGCTCAAGACTCTTGGAAATAGTTGACTTTCCATGTGACCTTGAAGAAGCCACTTGGATGCTATGCACAGGAGGCAGGACCAGACACCATCATTTGTTAAATTCCACAGGTGTACATGTGACATTAACAACTCTAAAATGATCCTTCAGGCCAGGAGAGAAATGTGCCAGGAGCTAATGGTACAGAGAGCTTCCAGCCCTAGTCTTATGACTTCTTTCTAAAATGAGCCAAATGCTTCCTAGGTCACAAGGAAATAAAAAGTAACCTCAGTTAACCTACTAAGAATGGGTGAATCACTCTAATATAATGTAAAGTACACAGGTGTTGGGGGGCAGCTAGGTGGCAAAATGGATAGAGTGCTGGGCCTGGAGTCAGGAAGACTCCTCTTCCTGAATTCAAATCTTAGACACTTAGTAGCTGTGTGATGCTGGGCAAGTCACTTAACCCTATTTGCCTTAGTTTTCTCATATGTGAAATGAGCTGGAAAAGGAAATGGCAAACCCCTCCAAGAAAACTCCAAGTCACAAAGAGCTAGACAAAACCAAAAAATGACTCAATAACAACACAGGTGTTGGAGCTGGATGACTCAAGACCTGACTCTATAAGTCATTAGCTGTGTGATCTTCGAGTAATCAATAGACTTCTCTGACACATTTTTAAATATCTGTACCATAGGGATAATCCTTGCACTGCCCACCTTAAAAGATTGTTGTGAGGATTCATCCAAATAGTGCCTGGTAACTGAAAAGGCTTATATAAATGTTCATTGATGTTTCCCAAACTAACTTAGTCACTGAACACTTTGGGACTGAATTATATGGATGGGGCTTATAAATACTGGTTTAAAGATGTTTAAGTATTTGGAAATACCCTTACGAGCAAGGATATCAAGAGACATTTGGAGCAAAATGGAAGAAATTAAACCTATTTTAATACTCCCAGAAGTAGTACATTGATCCAGACATAATTCTGTATTTAATGTTTTAGAGGGGAAAATATTGTCGTCATTGACATTTTTCTCATGAAGCCCCCACCTCCACCTTGAGGCATCCCAGGATTTTGATGAATGCAGTTTGGAAAGCACAGATTTGAGTTATTAATGCTGTATTGTATGAGACGTTGCCCAGGAGTGGATTCCAGTTATTTCAATGTCCTAGCTTTTTTCCTACATTTCTCTCATAATGAATACTTTTTAACCATCCTAGTGAGAGGACTAAGTCTCCACTTACCTCCACACAATCAGCTTACTCCGTCACCTTGCTGCCAAATGTACCAGCCCAGCAGCCTGAAGCGGCAGCAGGTGTGCCTGTTAAAACATGCCTTCCCTCCCTCCCATCACCCTGATCGAAGATCGCAATGGGATGCACGCTGTTCGCTGACACTAACTCTGCAATTTCCCAAACAAATGGCACCTCTGTGGGTTTACTAGGCTCCCAGCCTGGTCCATCTCCTTCTTCCCCACTGTGCCAGCTGGAGTGTTGGAAGGTGACGGCCCTTCAGGAGGTTTCGTGAGGCTGCCTCTCACTGTGCAAACCCAGATGTTCCAGATGATGGTAAACAAGCAAATGAGGCAGCTGGGGGTTCCATCCCATGTTCCCTTTGCTCCCAACCCATCCACTTTCTTGGCTATTCAGCTGTTTGGCCATATGCACTACCAGAAGGAAATTTGGCTTTGCCACTGTGCAGCTGCCAAGGTTTGAACAGAGGGTCCTAGAACAGGCAAGGTTGAAACAGGATTAAATAGGCTATATTGAAGGCCATGAGCATTTCCTGAAAGGTTCCCTGAATTAGTCTTGGCAAAACTTATCCACCCCTTTCCTTTCACTCACCTGGCATGTGGACTCTGGGAATTTTGCTGACGATGAAACATCTCCCGCCACACTTTTATACAACACTGTTGGAAACTAGCCATTTCAACCAACAGTCAGAATTCCGTATCTTTCCAACTTAGTTGGATTCCTGTCTTTTATGTTTCTTTTCTCCCCCAAGCATCTTATCAGCATGGTTCTTGACAAGAACATCACCAGATGGAAGCTGAATAAGTTCAGATCCTTTTAGGGTACCAGAATCAGCTTGATCATGCCTCCTCCTCTTCCTCAACATCCACTCTAGAAGCTTCATCATCTGCCATTCTCTATTTGGAGTAGTTAGATTAATAAATAGGAGCACAATAAGCCTTAATTGGAAGTTTTGACTTTAGAGGAAAAAGGCCTCATTCAATAAAACCTTAATAAGCTAGAGCCCAATTACAAGAATCCATTTAGGAAAAAGAAGCAAATAAAAAAAAGAAGCTTCAGATACTCCTGCCTCCTATCTCCATACTAATTTGGATCCTAAATTAAATGCAGAAGTTCTGACTGATGATCCTGAGGCAGCACAATCAATGAAGGGTTTAATGATGTCCACTATTCTATACTTACTAAGGCAGGAGAGTATGTAACTCTATCTCAGAAAGATTTCTACCATGAGGGTCAAAACAAAAATGTATTTTATTTAACCTTCATTATGTTATAGTGGAAAATATGATGGAGACACCACCATTCATGCCCTAGACCTGTCACTAACTTGCACTGTGATCTTGAATAAGTCACTTCATTTCTGCTTCAATTTCCTCATGTATAAAATGAGAAAGTTGGACTAAAGTAATTGGTAAGATCACTTGAAGCTCTAACATTTTGTGACAAGCAAGTTCCATTAATGAAAGCATCCTATTCCCTAAGCTTCCAACAAGACAGTGTGGTACAACAGGAAGTGTGTCAGATTCAGAGTTAGTCAGTTTTGAATCTCAGCTCTGCCACTTTTAATACCTGAGTGATGCTGGGTGAGTCACCTAACTATTCTGGGCCTCAGTTTTCTCATTTGTAGGGGTAACACTGGACTAGATGACTACTTTGGATATTTTGAGTGCTAAATCTATGATCCTATGAATCAAGGTTTCATTGAATTATGCATCTCATTTTATTTTAGCTAAAGAAGTCTTACTGTTGCCTCTCTCCTCAGGATTACTCAGAATTTATATTTCTCTCTGGGAAGAAGCTTCAATCCTCATAAAGCTTCCCTCTTCCCACCAAGGACCTTGAGTCAGAGTGAAGGAACTAGGAGAAATATTGCCTTTAGGCCTAGGGGAACTGTTGTTCAACTTATCCTAATTCACAAGGTCTTTAAGAACATTTCTTTGGGTGTGTGATGCCCCCATCTATTTTGATGGCTATAATGAAAATGAACAGGTTGTTTCAGACTGGGACAATGGGTCCTCTCCAACCCCACTTCACACAGTCCATGTCTACTCATCCCAGAAATTCTAAAAAAGATACATTCTGGTTGGTGAGGGGTGTGGGGTGTGGGGGAAAATCTCTGTACCTGCTGATGTGATTGAGTAACAGGCACCACTTTCCCTTATGCCCTGCATCAAGCATAGCTGATAAATGAGCATTCTATTTCAGTGACCCCTAAAACACACAAGGTTAATTGTCTTTCATGGGCTGCTCATGGCTTCTTGGCTTAATTCTTATCTAATGCATATTTGTGTTAATGAGATTAAACTGGTTTTCCCCACTCAATTCACATCATCCCACCCCACCTTCTAGTGCTCCCCCTCCCACCCCTCTATTTCTGCTGGTAGTGTTCTGCTGGCTAATTAGCTAGAAACCTAAGTGAGTCTTGCCACATCCATGGTGCACCAGTTTCTGTCCCTGTCTATCCCAGACTGAGAGATGGGTGCTCTGGTGACAGGTGAAGGGGAGAGAGAAGCAAGCATAGCCAGCACCCTTGGGAATGAAGTGGGCTGCTTGGCTTTGCTTCCATTACCTCATTTTGTCTGGGCATCAAATGAACAATGACTCACCAAAAAGAGCACCCTGGATCCCTAGTGGGTGAGGAAACAGGTGTCTTTTAACTGGTCAAAAGAAACCCTCTTTTCTTCAAAAACTATGTTTTTTACAACTTTTTGATAAAACCTACCATGCAGGTCTTCTCAGAATTTCATTTTCCCTCCCCACCCCCTACATACTCCTTGGAGAAACAATTTATAGAGCCAAATTTAAGTAACAGGCTACCTTAGCTCTCTGCCATGCAATTTCCCATAAACCTCCAAACCATGTAATATCGTTCTTGGCTTGCTCTTCTACAGGAACAGCCATGAATTAAACTAATACAGTAGCTATCAGTAGTGATAGAGAGCTTGGTACAATGGATGCTGCACTGAAGGTGGAGTCAGAAGACTTGGTCTCAAATCCTGATTCTGTCCCTTGCTACCTATATGACCTTTGAAAAATCCCTTTACATTTCTCTGGGTCTCAGCTTCCATCTCTATAACATCAGGTCCCTTCTGCCTCTAAATCTGTAATCCTCATGCAACTACTACATGCTGACCCCAAAATTCACTGCCTTTAAGAATAATCGGATGATGTATTGCAAAGAGATACTGATTTAAAGGCAACAAATGAGTCTGGGGGGGGGGATATGAAAGAACAGAATGGTTAGACAAGGAGAGTGAGCAAGTAATCT